ACCTATTATGTTTTTATCGTGTGTTACTCGCTTATGGCCATTTTGAACAACTTTGTTTAAAAGGGTTTAAGTTATGTGTGTACGTTTCTTTTAGTAAGTAGATAGATATAAATAAAGGCTGATTCAAATAATGTGCAAATAACATATTCACGCTACATTCCTTGCGGGGTAGAAAGAACATAAACGGCTGTAAGCAAGCAGATATGTATTAAAAATAAAAACCCGACCGCGGTAACTAAAGACTAAAGTCAAAGTTGTATTCTGGGATAAAAATCTGTCATCTTGAATTTATGAATATTTACCTTATATATCCAGTATCACATGCGCTGTTGGGACAAATCTAAAGACACCTCACATGTCAAGATCCGTCGAGCCGTTTGGGCTGTAGCCCGTGAAAACGAATTTCTGAAAACATAACCCTCCTGAAGCAGTCGGGTAAAAAACAAAATAAATGTTGATCATCAGTAACATCCTTTATAAAATGACCCCTATATGCTAAATGGATTATATCCCCTTCATTGGCTATGAAATAATAAGCTAATATTGGGTTATTTGTTATGCATGCGGGACCCTAATTTGATTTCATGTGAAATGTTGGGATAGGTTATTTATTTGAGAGAAAATCGATATCCTAACATACTAAAGTTATAAATATAGCCAATAGTCTTTTTATGGTTGGGTGGCGGAAAAAGGGACATAAAGATATACCTATCTATCCAAATCGAGCAAGAATTGTACACTTTTCATAGGTGGAGGTTCAATTTTCATACGTAGTTTCGATTTTAATCCATGTTCGCGAGGAAAAGTTAGTTGTGAATCGTGTACTTAAGGTGCATCGTTACGTCATACAAACGAGAATCTGAACTTCAACCGAGTTAAAAGTTATAGTCATGGTCCTTAGCAAAAAAATACTGTTTTGCCGGCACAGTTGATGCCGCGAAACTTTACGTCAGTCATTTTGTACCTACTGAACCTCAAACTTGGCATGTTTTGACTACTTTTAAAAATATAACTTGATTTTTTTCGATAAGGGTAAGTAAAATGTATTATAACGATACATTTTTGAAATCGTCCCGCGTAGCGCTTTCATTTGATACCCCACACGATGGGCTCCAGAAGAATTATTTTTTTAGTGCCATACAAAAAACGAAGGTCGGCCATCTTGAAATCCAGTGGATGGATTTTTCATTTCCTCGGATGGAATCATTTATAATGGTCCCTAGTATCGCTGAGCAAAGCGGCATCAACTGTGCCGGCAAAACAGCTTTCGGGTGATATTTGACCGTAACCGTTTAGACTATTAGCTAAACAAAAATTTTATCGAAAAAACATTATGTGAAATGATGAAGACACACATAAATTTGTCGCAAAAGTACCTACCTACTTATGGTTAAAAAATATTAAGTATTTTCTCCACAACAAAATTAAACGTGTTTATTGCAGCAGTAGCTCCATCTAGGTATGTTCATAAAGTGGCGAAACGGTTTTTACAGAGAAATCTGATGGTTAATAATATGATATGATGGTTGATGGTTAAAAAGATGTTTGTTTTATTTTGCGAAAATATTATAGAAGCACGGGACTTCCCATCAAGTTTTCTAATCATATTTTTGTCTCATTTAAAGACTTCACTCCATTTAACTTTTGTATACAAAAACGATCCACCAACGCAGAGTAAAAAAAATTTCGTTGTCACCTGGGGTGTCCGAATACTGATAGGGTGCACTCAGACCATGAAACTGACCAACATCCAATAAGAAAATATTTCAGGAGGCGTATAAAACATTTTTGACCTCATACAAAATCACGGTGACTGCATTTACTATGGGAAGTTGAAAAGCTTTGACGTGTGCTGAAGTATTTTCTATGGGAAGTTGTTACATTTCATGGTCTAAATGCAAGGTGTATCAGTATTCGCAGAGCAGTCCTTTACACCCTGTACAGAGAAAATGGATCAGGTTGCAACGTTTTTGGTACGCCCTGGATTTTGGTTTTTTTCTGTGATAAAAAGCTGTATTTATCTACTTTCCTCTCAATTTCGTAGAAATAATTAAATAATTGAATGGCAGAATTCTTAGCCGAGTGGTAGCGGCTAAGAATTCTGCCACCCGTATTCTACTCAGGGTGTATCGTAAAAGGCGACGTAGAGTTTATGACCTTGGCTACACTATCTGCTGACTATGGTCAACCGTGTGGCGGCGGTAATACCACCTATTAGCATTCCCAAAGAGGGTTGACGTCAGGCAAGCGGCCGGTAAAATTAAACCAAATGCTTTTGCAACATGATTTCGTGTTGCAAAAGCAAGTAATTGAATTCTCTTGTGTCACATGTCACATCCCAAAACATGGTCCCGGTCACGCTCGTGACCCAGCGTGTTTTTTTTATTCAGCTGGTCACTAGTAAGTGACTAAACACCGTGACCAAGAGGGGACGGGCGACATATTAAACGCATTGCGGTTAAGGAGAAGACGCAAATAGAAGACAATTGCCGTGTGGTGTCGGCAGAGTAGAATAGCACCACCTCCTCTCTTCCCGTGGGGGTCGTATGAGGCGACCGAGGGGTAAACCCGGCCCAAACAGCCAGGGCCAACCGTATGGTGGCGGTTCCCAAGGAGGATTGAAGTCTGGCAGGCGGCCGGTCCCAGGGTGTTTTTTTTTATTCAGATGGTCGCCAGTAAGTGACTAAACACCGTGACCAGGAGGGGACGGGCGACATAAACGCATTGCGGTTAAGGAGAAGGCTCAAATAGAAGACGATATGTACAAGTTTTTTTTTTGTTTCTATACAACGTGTTTTGGAGGAAATAGATTAATTTGGATATTATGTTGCTTAAAGCATTGTACTAAACAATTTTCTCTATGATACCAATTCTGTAAAACAAAAGAAAAAAATCGACCTCCCATACACAATCGGCTTACTGACATGAAAACTGTTCAGTACGAATAATGGCTACGATGACCTAAACAACGAGTGCAATAATGCATTTCTTCTGAAACACGGTGACCAACCAAAATGATTGCCTACGGAAGGTCTAGGTATAGTTACCGAAGCCACGACTGCTGCCACTAAGTTCTCGAACTTTTGATAATTAAGTATGGGTACAAATATATTGTATACCAAAATCAGTTTTGAATACCTAAACACGTTAACCTTAAAACGACAAGGTATACCAAAAAATGAATAGTGTACCAAAAAACAAATGCGTAAAAAAGTATATCCGCAACGCAATTTAAAAAGTGCGTTTATCTGATAAAGTTATGCTCATACTTTAAAATGTAATCGAAAGCCAAAATTAGTAAATGTCTACCAAATTCAGTACACCCAATTTACGCGCCAATGCTACCAATTTAAATTACAACGCCTGCAATAAAACGTAGGTATAAATTTGTTGTCATGTCATTGAACTTCACTAGAGGTGTACCCAAAAAATCTTAGTTTATAGGTCCGTTAGATATAGCCTAACCGAACCTGGCGCGGAAAGCGCCAGGTTAGGTTAGGTTAGGTTAGACCTTTGACCACAACGCACGAGCCGAGCGAGCGGAGCGAGCGTGCCGCGGCAGCGGCCGGCGATGTGCCAGAAACGACACGCTATCTGCGTCATAAATTTAAAATAAGAAAATGTGGGCAAACTTAGCTTATTTTGGGAAAACAAAACTTTTTTAAGGAGCATTTATTTTATTAGAGTAATTAAATAGTAGTATTTAGATAACATTTCGGTATAAATTGGAGTTTAAATTTTTGTAAACATTTACTTTTTATTAGATAATTGAATTTAATTTTGGTCTCATGTACTTTAATTGGCTAACGTAAAATTAAATAAATGTATGCGTTCAAGTATAAAATAGGGTTTCAAATTTTGGTAGACATTTACCTTTTTTGGGGTGAAAATAAATTTTTTTGGTTTGCGATTTTTATTTAATTTGGTAAACAGTTAAACCAAAGCCATTAAGTATTTCGAAGTGATGTGAGACAGTTACTTGTAAATAAGGTAAGTAGCTCACCTCATTTGAAGCAGTTCCAGAAGTAAGAAACCTGGGTTGCGCTGACTTTAACTGATTTGGGATAAGGGCAGGCAGATGATGAGTGAATAGGCAATGTTGCGCTGCTTTCCAGTACCTACCTAGATGGTCCAAGGTTCTCCATCAAATATAAAAAACTCAGTCACATCTTGTCCTCAGATCAAGCTTCGAGAAAGTCGAGAGTGGTCAAGAGAAACAAAAATAAAACGTAAAATGAGGTGCAAGTTCGCTACCACCATACAACTGACGCGTGCGACCAATGCAGTAAACACTTATAAATATACTTGATGATGATGCTATAATATACTTAGTCGTAGTATGAAAGCTTACATAATGCCATCGCAACCCTCGAACTTTATATCGCGGCTGCGACCGGCCGAACCTAACAAACTTGTTAGAAACCAAAGTTGAAAGGTAAGTAGACGTTGTGACAACTTCTCCTTAAACAATTCTTAGTCAGACAGTCTCAGCTGACTGGTTCCCATACTGTCGACAAAATGATGAATTTACAACTTAATTCACATAATTTGATCCATTTTATCACCAACTCATAAATTGTCGAGTAGGGTTGCCAGAGCATTCTATTGTAAGGGGACAAAAGTGCTAATTTTGAATGACTGCCACATCCTGATTTTATATGAATGCTTACACACTTAGAGTGCGCATTAGGCCCTGCGGCGTTCTGTCAAAGCGTAAGCAGTTGCACACGTCAAATGTATGTGAAGTTATAGAGGTTAAGAAGTGCTGTCACTGTCATTTTGCTACTGACAGACAGAGAGGGTGCGCCCAGACTACTGCCACCAGTTCTTACTTTATACGCGCACTCTATAGCTTGCTTATATATACACTAAGCTTACAAAACATATCTTTTGTCCTAAATATCATATGGTTTGAATAACTTATCTGCTAGATGTAACGACATACGTGTCGCTTCGAGACTAGCATCAAGAGGTTGTAAAAATTCACCAGGGTCTGCTAGGCGTCCGTAGCTCATTTGACAGAGCGGTGGGATGGTATCCTACGGTCCCGGGTTCAAGTCGCGGCGGCCGCTAAAGAATTTTTCAATTTTCCCATTTTCAATTTATGAAAATAATATAGCACTGTGAATGCATATATCTCAATACAAGGGTTCCCATTGCCCCTTTGTAGTTAGAGAGCCCAGGGGGTAAGTGGCTATCTCATAAGGTACCACGATAGGCTAGGTTTGGATCGTTAACCAAGACTTAAACAAGTCGTATGACCCAGGTCTGCCAGAGCCAATCCTGCCGAAACATAAAAATAATCGATATTTTTCAGAGTCATTTTTTCGTAAAAAATATGTCATAAGGTACCACAATGAGTGCTGGCATCAGTTAACCATTGAAAAATTATGTAAAAAAAGCTTGGTCTGCCACTGCGCACCCTGCCGGAAGTGCTTGCCAGACCTCTCCAAAGATGCCCTTCCGACACCCCTAAACTATCTCATCGGGTACCACGACGCGACCACCACAACATAATAGCCAAGATCACTCTGACAATAGATCACAAGGTCTGCCAGGCCTAAACTTGCCGCATCCTAGTGTTTCAGACATTTGAAGTTGTAGGTCCAGTGTATGAAAAATGACCTATATCTTTTTCCCCCCGTGTTTGATTTTGATGGTGCCTTAATACGAAATGCTCTCCATAATGAGGAGCTTCGAGTCATATAGGACAGTTGGGTGGAGGTTTCAGTATTGAACGCAAAAAAAGTTTGAAATGGAGGTTTGGTCTATGAAGACTGGCCTATATCTTATTCCCCCCGGGTTTGATTTTGATGGCGCCTTAATATGAAATGCTCTCCATAACTAGGAGCTTTGAGTCATATAGGTCAGTGAGGAGGAGGGTCTCTCTATTGTACACAATCCTGTCAAAAAGTGTGAAATTGTAGGTAAAGTGTATGAAAACTGGCCTATATCTTTTCCCCACACTGGTTTGATTTTGATGGTGCCTTGGTATGAAATGCTCGTAATGATTAGGAGATTCAATTTGTATAGGTCAATTGGATAGAAGGTCTCTGTTCTGTGCACAATCCTCCTAAATATGAAAATATTCGATAACTTCTGCAGATTTTATCAGTTAAAATTGTCATATCATAAGGAACTCGAATAAAAGTGCTTGCATCAGCTTACCATTGACAAATTATGTTAAAAAAACTTGGTCTGCCACTGCGCACTCTGCCGGAAGTCCTTAGATGAGATAGGTTAGGGGTGTCGGAAGGGTATATTTGGAGAGGTCTCCCAAGGACTTCTGGCAGAGTGCGCAGTGGCAGACCAAGTTTTCTTAACTCAATTTATCAATGGTACAATCCTGCTAAACATGAAAATATTCGATATGTTCTGCAGATTTTTGCCGTTAATATTGTCATATCATAAGGTACCCGAATAAAAGTGCCGGCATCAGCTTACCATTGATAAATTGAGTTAAGAAAACTTGGTCTGCCACTGCGCACTCAGCCAGAAGTCCTTGGGAGACCCTCCAAATATACCCTTCCGACACCCCTAACCTATCTCATCTAAGGACTTTCGGCAGAGTGCGCAGTGGCAGACCAAGTTTTTAACATAATTTGTCAATGGTAAGCTGATGCAAGCACTTTTATTCGAGTTCCTTATGATATGACAATTTTAACTGATAAAATCTGCAGAAGTTATCGAATATTTTCATATTTAGGAGGATTGTGCACAGAACAGAGACCTTCTATCCAATTGACCTATACAAATTGAATCTCCTAATCATTACGAGCATTTCATACCAAGGCACCATCAAAATCAAACCAGTGGGGGAAAAGATATAGGCCAGTTTTCATACACTTTACCTACAATTTCACACTTTTGACAGGATTGTGTACAATAGAGAGACCCTCCTCCTCACTGACCTATATGACTCAAAGCTCCTAGTTATGGAGAGCATTTCATATTAAGGCGCCATCAAAATCAAACCGGGGAATAAGATACAGGCCAGTCTTCATAGACCAAACCTCCATTTCAAACTTTTGACAGGATTGCGTTCAATACTGAAACCCTCCACCCAACTGTCCTATATGACTCGAAGCTCCTCATTATGGAGAGCATTTCGTATTAAGGCACCATCAAAATCAAACACGGGGGGAAAAAGATATAGGTCATTTTTCATACACTGGACCTACAACTTCAAATGTCTGAAACACTAGGATGCGGCAAGTTTAGGCCTGGCAGACCTTGTGATCTATTGTCAGAGTGATCTTGGCTATTATGTTGTGGTGGTCGCGTCGTGGTACCCGATGAGATAGTTTAGGGTGTCGGAAGGGCATCTTTGGAGAGGTCTGGCAAGCACTTCCGGCAGGGTGCGCAGTGGCAGAAAAAGCTTTTTTTACATAATTTTTCAATGGTTAACTGATGCCAGCACTTTCATTGTGGTACCTTATGACATATTTTTTACGAAAAAATGACTCTGAAAAATATCGATTATTTTTATGTTTCGGCAGGATTGGCTCTGGCAGACCTGGGTCATACGACTTGTTTAAGTCTTGGTTAACGATCCAAACCTAGCCTATCGTGGTACCTTATGAGATAGCCACTTACCCCCTGGGCTCTCCAACTATTGGGTCTTCTTCTAAGTCGGTGCACTCTTATCAGAGTGGTCGTGGTCGCTATTGGTGTTGGTGGCACGCTTCACCAGTCGCCGCCACTCATCTCGGACGGCCGCTTTTCTCGTGCACTCGTGTAAGGGACCACCGAGAGTAGATTTTATTAGGTCTGTCCATCTCATCGGTGATCTGCCACGAGCTCGTGCTCCTTCAACCTTGCCCTGTACTACGAGGCGTTCAACGGAGGAATTATCTCGCCGGGAAACGTGGCCAAAGAAAGTAAGTATGCGACTTTGTACAATTGATGACAGACGCTGTGTGATTTTGAGCTGCTGAAGAATAGAGTCATTCGTTCTGAGCTCAGTCCACGACACCCCGAGCATCCTTCTCCAGCACCACATCTCAAGGGCATCAATCTTACTCTTTTCTGTTTCTCGCAGGGTCCACGTCTCTGCTGCGTAAAGAAATATCGGGAAAACGAGAGATCTCACTAACCGGACTTTTGTGGCATTGGTTATATCACGGCTCTTCCATACTCTCTTTAATTTGTCCATAGACGATCTGGTAATGGCCATGCGCCTCTTTATTTCTTCAGCACATCCACCGTTATTAGTTACCAGAGCTCCTAGGTATACATATGATGTTACAACTTCACAGCCTGCAACTTCTGTTATTTCTGGGGAGTTATCGTTTTGCCGGTCAACAATCATCACTTTTGTCTTGCTGTGGTTTATTTTAAGTCCAAATCCTAGGCTGATAGTCTCCATTTTGCGTAAAAGTTGTTCCAATTGGTCAATACTTGTAGCGAATAAGGTGGTGTCATCAGCATAGCGTAAATTTGATATTCTCAAACCTCCAACTACCACGCCGTCTGACCAGTCTTCAAGAGTTATTCTCATGATCAGTTCGGTGTGTATGTTAAACAGCAGAGGTGATATTATGCAGCCCTGGCGGACTCCGGCACTAGGATGGAAATCGTCAGACAAGACGTCGTCAGTTCGTACAGACGCCGAACCACCTTCATACAGACATCGCAGCAAATACACGAGGTGTTTCGGTGTTCCCATTTCCAGCAGAGTTCTCCAGAGGACAGGCCACTTTACAGAATCAAAGGCCTTCGAAAAATCAACAAAGCATATGTAGGTCGGCTTGTTGTATTCTCGGGATTTCTCAATTATTTGCCTTACTGACAAAATTTGTTCGCGCGTGCCTTTACCTCTCACGAAACCCGCTTGTTCAGGAGCTATTTCTTTAGACAAGAACGATTTGAGGCGCTCATTCAAAATGTGAAGCAAGATTTTACTTGCATGAGAAATTAGAGCTATAAGACGATAGTTGCTGCATATCTTTGTCGATCCTTTTTTGTGTAATGGAACGAACACGGTGTGAGCCCATTCCTGAGGCCATTTTCCAGATCTCCATATTTGGTTGCAAATATCATGAAAAATGTTAACACCTTTTTCTCCCATGGCTTTTATGGTTTCAATTGGAATACAATCTCTACCCGTGGATTTGTTGTTTTTAAGGTGTACAGAACCCTAAAAAAGCATCACTTTTATTGCGTAGTTCTCAGTTTCTTGGCGACGACGAATCAATATGTAAAAATATTGTACCGAGAATCGAACCTACGGTCCTGCCAAATGTACAGAATTAGGTCAACGTTCATTCATTATTCATTCGTTCTTTATTGACCGATCAGTGAGTGAATGGGCTTCTTGTGTGTATTGGGTGGAGCGAATAGTGTTTCAATGTAGAGTCGCAAAATAGAGAGATTACAGAAGGATCACTCGACCATGTAGGTATTAGTAGTAATTTAGGTAGGTAGGATGCCGTAAAAAATCTTTTAAAAAATTAACAGCCTGTATAAGGAGTGAAAAATCGACAGTAATATTATAAGGGGTAAACCAGCCCATGAAACTGAACAACTTTCCCCAAAGAAAGGTCAAAATATGAAAAAGTTTTGGACCTCCCATACAAATTGATTCTGTCAGCTGGTACATTTTGTATTGGAGGACCAATATTATTTTTAATATTATATCGATCTTTGTTTCTGAGGAAAAGTTGTTCAGTTTCATGGGCTGCTTCAGTTCACCTCTTAAAATATTTGCAGTTGTTTTTTTTACATCCTGTATTTATAATTAGATTACGATTGTCACTCGTTACATAGCCAGGGTTGCTACTATCAAAATACGAGGACGGAACATACTTAAATCTGAAAAGATAACATAATTTATGATTCTGAGCCAATTTTAATGCGAGAAATATAACGTTCGTGCCATATTTCATTCTAGATTTAACTTTCTTTCGCAAAGTCGGTAAAACAATTGGTAAAATATTTTTAATTGTTCCACTACTGCTGAGTCAAATTACTCGAAACCGATTCCAAACATCTGTGATTACTAAAATTACATATTACGAAATATCAAACATTCAAAACTATCAGCAGCACTGATCAACCTTAGCTATTTTAT